GTAAGTGCAAATAAATAAGTAAATAAGTAAAAAATGAAAGAGGAGAATCATAATGGCATCTGTATCACGGCATATAAAGAAGCAACTTCAGACTTCTGCATCTCAGATCTTGTGAGCCTTGTAATCTTTTGAGCAAAATATCAGTTTTCTCTCATACAGCTTCAAGATTCTTCTCCTGAAACAAAATTAATTTGCGAGGAAATAGTCTGGGCTATTCATATGGATTTTTAGACACAAATGAAGATAGCTCTTTCTGGGTTTTCTCTCTTTTTAAAAAATGTTACCTCTTCGGGCTAGAGGGTTTTTTTTGTTGTTGTTGTTGTTTTTTTTTTTTTTTTTTTTTGTTAACCTCAGCAGGATTGTTTTCTGGGCAACACTTAAAGAAACATATTGTAAAGTCTGCAATATTTTTCTAAGGTACTTTCGTCTCATGTCTTTTAGGACTCCTCTGCATGACCCAAATCTGTCCAGTGTTTGCAGCTGTCTTACATTTCTCCAGTATTTGAGGGGTGGGGGGAATTTTTCCAAGCCACCAATGCTCTGGGTCTCATAATTTTCCTTTTTTACTCCTTCTCTCCATTGTGTCCTTCCTTCTTTTCTTCCTTCCGGTTAAGTTCTTCCCCCATCTCTCTCCATTCTCTTCATTCTTCTCACCTACGCCCTCCACCATCATTTTCTGAGTTTCTTAGCTGTAATAACAATACTGTGTCATGGAATTTACTTTTATCATAACCTGGTCTTAATCAGTCTCATTACATTTATTAGTTTGATGGTCTTGGTCAGAGTCTTTTAGAACCTTGGTTTCTGATTATGAGGATTTTATGATGTCCATCATGTCAAACATCTAAAAGCACAGTAAATGATTACTAATTATCAGAAACTTTTCCTTTTCAGTGTTTCTCTATTGTTTTGTTTTACATAAATTCCCTTTCTTTTTGATCTTTTTGGGCTTCTTACATACTTATCTTTATATGTACTAAAACACTTTTAAATTTATTAATCTTTTTAACTTTTTCATATGCCTATTTTTTTGTTTTTATTCCAGAATTGCCACATTTTCATCTTTACTCTTAAAATATAAAGAAATATCTTGGAATAATTCCCAGCTTCTAAATTTATCTACTGACATATTCCATATTCACTTTAGAATGGATGATTGTCAGATCAGCAATCAATGGATAATAACACATGGTGCAGAAGGCTGAACATGTCATGCTCTTTTTCCTCTCTGTGCCTCAAGCGTATTTATAAGAAAACTTTCAGTGCTTCCTTGTGTACACTGTCACTTTCCCAGGTTACAATTAAATAGATTGTGTAGTTATCAGAGGACTACACAATCTATTTAATTCAAAATAAACATACTCAATTACATTGGTATATGTATTAATTTGTTCTAAATTTACTTTCTTAATAATAGACATTTATTTGATATGAAAATAAATGACTTTACATAAATCATAATAAATTTTGATGTACATTTGATTCTATATATCTGAAATTTTGGATTCCACAAAATATGTGTCCTCACATATTTAAAATAAGATATAAAAAATTAAATGGAAATTTTGAGAGTTCTTCCTGCCTTATTTTACTTATGACTTATTAAATTAATATTTTCATATCTTCTAATCATTAGCTTTGATAATTTGCATACATTATTTGATGTATTTGGTATTTGCTGTTCCTCTGAATAGAAATATTAGAAAAAGTACAAGGAACTTGAATGTGACATATCAAGTATGTTCGTAGTCAGGACTCAAATACATAATGAGTAAAAATTTATGAAATATAAAAATGACAAAGTTGTGGAAAAATTATCAAGAGAAATTAAAGAAAATGATTGGTGAGTACTGGATATTAAAGAGTCTATTTAAACCATGATTTTATAACATATCATTTCTAATTAAGACTAGATTCATTTGTTTGGGTACATTCATACTTCATATGTTTCCAATATTTTCTAGTGGAAAAATTGAGTTTATGTGACATAGATTTTAAAATTTTCTCAGGCATCATCATTTGTTTCATCTTAAATTTAGCATTTCTTTTCATTTGCAAATTTCTCAATGACTTGCTGGAGAATGGTGTCAAAAGGTAGTTTATAGTTGAAACTTTTTAAAGAAAGTTTCTGTAGCTAACTATTTAGGACACTACCAGGATGACATTGCCACATGTTTTGTAGACTTTTGCTAAGAAAAATTTAATTCCTTCAATGCTATATTTTAAATATTTATTACCTTCTCTATGTGTTTGATGGAATTAAAATGTGAATAAAAATCTGTGCGCTGAGATTGTTATTTGTAGTGAATAATATGGCTAAATTACTTCACCCAACTTTACACTAGATTTTCAGAATTTGAAAAAAAAGTTGGCTTTGTTAATTGCCATCAATAATAGTACTTGAGTGTGTTTAGAATTTTTCATGAATTTTTTTGAAATATTTTATTCTAGATGAAAAATCAGACTTAATTTTGGTTCAATCTCATCTATTCTGTGTACTAACAATAGACTCCTGTGTAAATTACCTAAACTCTGGTTTATTTTCCAAATTCTTTTAAATGCCAAAGAGCAGTTATAAGAATGAAATGAGAGACTATGCCTTATAGAAATCAGTTCCCTCAAACTGAGTTTGTCTAATGTGATGATGTAAACTGAAAAAAAAAAATGAGAATGGCACCTTGGAAAGAAATGGTAGTGGAATTTTTTGAGCACTGTACTGCAATTATGTAAGTAAATGGGAAAAGTGCAAGGAGGATATTGATGTCTTGCTTTTCTTCAGCAGAGCTGCATTTAACATAAAGGGGAGTCATTTTATTGAATAATAAAAGCCTGACAATCACTGTGATTGGCTGACAGCCATTACTGCAGTGTAATTCTAAACAGCTTGTTTTTCAAAGTTCTTGTTGAATAACTCTTTAAACTCCAGTCATTGCCCAGCCTGATTGAAAAGTTCAAAATTCATCTTTTTAAGATTTCTCCCTTAAATATAATATGTGCCATGATATATGCATATAAAATATACATTGTATAAAATATATACATGCATATGTGTATATATGTACACACAGATATATATTTTATGTTACATATGATACATATAATGTGATATAAGTGATGAATTATGGGAAAAGATATGCATTTAAATAGTGTTTTCTTTTTAAATGCTTAAAATTGAATACATTCTGACCATTTTGACATGGAGGACAACATTTAGGATATTTAGCAAACTAAAGTTTAAATGGTTGATAAAATTAATTCACGAGTTATGGAAGAAAAGGACATTTGAAGAAATCTTGTTTTAGAAAATACAGCATGTCTTACAGTGCAAAGCACAACATTTGATCTGCATTATCTAGCTTAAAATCCTGTGATTTCTGAATAGAATTTAAAGCTTCCAAAGTTATCAAATCCACTTTGATGCATTCATCTCTCTTCAGTCAGCATTTCTAATCAGCAATCCTCACTAGAAAGTATTTATAATGTGGTTGTATAGTTGGCAACTCACCAAAACAAATATTTAATGATATTTTAATGGCTATTTTAAATCTCTTATTTAAATTGTGGATTAATACTTTATTTATCCAATGAATTCTGATCAGAATGTTTGAGAAACATATTTGCTATTGAAGCCCTCTGTAATGGCTGTGTACTTAGTTTTCAGAATTGTCCAGGTTAGATCCTCTCTGATGGAGGCATTTTATCTTAAACGTCAACATTGGAAACACTGAGATAAAGATAAGAAGCTGGAATCTGAGAACTACAGAACTGTGTTAATTGCTCATTTTCAAACATAGAGATGGTAATTAATTCTATCCAACACAGATTCAAAACAGCTCGGGGAAATGGTCCTGATATTAGTATTGTACAAAAGTGAAGGAAAATAGATGCAATTCCAGCGTCCAGAAAGCTGATTCTTCAACAGGCAGCAACAGAAGAATCCTAATGCATGAGGCGATTGGCTGATGGCATCTTTGTTCAGGCGATAGGCATCCTAAACCAGACGCTGGGTGGAGAAATCCTTTCTCACCTCACCTTCAGAATCCACTGCTCAGCCACCTGGGCTGCTTCGGGTTGAGCCGCCGCCTCACTACTGGTGCACGTCTCCCCCTCTCGACCAGCAAGTGCTTGCTCCCTCCCCGCGAGGCACTCACACAATGGACTCACTTGTTTCCCTCGCACCTCTCCTTTGACTTCCAGTCTGAGCAAACAACTTGAGCAAGAGTCAGGCAGGAGTCTGACATGGAGCATGGACCCGCAGAGCCTTCCAGACGAGCTCAGAAGCACGCGCGCACACGCAGACAAAACAAACAATGCCTGGTCCACGAACGAATAAATTAACGCCACCCACGCCCCCACCCGCCACTCTGAAACCATCAAAAAAAGAAATCTGGGACGGGATTTTCTAAATAAGAGGATTTATTTTGTCTTTCAGACTGTGAACACCCATCTCTGAAAACATCAAGAGATGCTAGGCATTCTGATGGCAGTATAGACTGACGGTGGCTTTGCCCGCGACAACGCCCCCAGTATCGCGCTGAACCAGGTTCCCAGAGAACTACAAAAGGGAAACTCAGATCTAGGGGAAGGGTATGGCAGCTTAGGAAGGATGGAAAATGAGAAATCAGGGGGGAAAAATGAATGAGTTAAACTTGGGACACAAGGGGGACGGGAGTTCTCCCTAGGTAACTACCTCGAGGTGAAAAATAGATGCATACATAAGGAAGTGGCAGGCAACAACTTTGAGGTGAGCAGCAAGTTGTGCACCTTCTTGGAGACGACTGATCAGTACCCCCTCGGCTGCCCCCAAAGCACACATTCCCCATCCGAGGCTTTGGCGGCGGTACCAACAGCAGCCACCGCAGCAGTAATCGCGGCAGCAGCGGCAGCGGCAGCGGCAGCTGCGCGCCTCCGGCCCAACCCCGCGCGGCTCCCCCTCTCGCCGGCGCCCTGCCTGTCTTGCGTGTGCGTGTGCGTGTGCTCAGCCTCAGCGTGAGGGGCACCTGCTCGTCTGGGCTCACAGCGGAGGCAGACTCGCCGTGAGCTGCCGCGCTGCCTCTCGCAAGCGCCGGGCTCCCAGTCGCCGCCGCCACCGCCGCCGCCGCGCCTCGCCAGCCAGAGTTGGGCTCCGTGGGGCTTCCCCCCTCGCAGCCTCGGTCCTTCCCGGCTGCTTGCAAGTCAGCCTGGCTCCGAGTCACGTGTCAGTGCCTGAGGCAGAGACTGAAAGAAAAAAACGCGCTTCATTCCTTCTTCCACCGCCATACTGTATTTTATACTAAATCTCATTTTTATTCCAACATTTTACTCCCGCTCGGTGAGTACCTTCTCAGTGGCATTCTTGTCCTATTCTTTTTTTTTTTGTCCTTTTTTTTGGTTCTTTTTTTGTTTTTGTTTTTTTTTCTTCTTTTTTTTTTCCACTTCTTTGATTATTGTTTATATTTGGGAAAGCTGAAGGAGCATGGTTTTGAGCCTTTTCCTGAATCCAAGTTTTTCTAGCATGCGATCGTTCTGTAGACAAGGCGCTGTGTCTGAGAGTCCGCGGCGACCGTGCGGGCTGGGAGCGACTCCCAAGTCCAGCAAATATGCAACTGGTTTTATGGAAAAAGCGATGTGAAGTATGGTGCCAATTTTTTTTTCCTTTGTAAAAATAAAAAAAGCATGTTTCTAACTCTCTTTTTTTTGCATACTCTTTTTCTGATAACATTTTTTGTATAGGTGGGATTTTACGTCAGTGTTTACAAGTTTGTGGTCTTGCAATACTGGTGCAAACCACTGAGCAAAGACATTAATTTTATATATTTTTTGTGCCCTTTTTCGAAGCCGGTGAGAAAAATATTCGTTTTTTCCCTCCTGTTTTTGATACCCTTTGATAACATGAAACTTTTCTTGCAGCTGGTTACTGGGATCATTTTTAAGCAAAATACTTTTTTTCCTCCTTTAAATTAACTATGACTTTTGCACATTTGACTTTTTTTTTTATAAAAACCGAGATAATTTTGCGATAGATATCCTGATATCTATATCTATATTATCCCTTCTTCCTCCTCCTCCCCTCTCCGTAAATCAATTTTCAAATGATGGCAGTGGAAGGTTTTTCTGGAAAAAAAAATGAAGTGCGGTTTGGTTTCCTTGTCAACGGAGGATGAAGTGAACAGCTGAGCAGCTCGCAGAGAGCAGGTACTTGGTCCCCTTGGAGGCGTTTCCCGGGTGTGCGATGGCAACACTGGTCTTGGCAAAGAAATTGTGTGTGTGTGTGTGTATGTGTGTGTGTCCCGTATGTGTGTGTGAGTGTGTGTGTGCGCGCGCGCGCATCTCTGGGCAGTGTCCGAGACTGTGGTGGGGAAAGCCGCGCGGGGAACCGGGGAAAACCGAAGTCCTTTCCCTGACTCAGGATCTGTTTTGGATGTGCGCAAATACAGTTCCCCCCTGGCTGCGCCCAGGTTGTCTCTGCGGCTGGTGGCATCTGCGCCCCGGGCGGTGCCAGCCAGGAACGCGGTGGCCGGCGGGCCCTGTAAGTTCTCCGAGGGCCACTTGCAGAGTAGGAGGGGCCAGGGCCTTGTGTGTGGTGCTGGCCGTCGGGTCGGTCCGGGCGGGCGCCTCTGAGTATCCAGGAGATGGGGGTTGAAGCGACAGGGACAGCATCTTCCGGAGGGGCTGGCTCCCGGCTACATGGGCAGGAGCTCAAGACATTTCCAGAGCCTTGAGAATGGCACCAACCCCCTCACGCTCAACTCCTGCTCCTCCTCTTCGCAATGAGTAAACAACGCAGTAGGTCTTTCCCAGCCTCTTTTGCCTGGTCTGAAACGCTTAGCCGCCTTAATGGTGCTGTCTTTCTATTTTTTTTTTTTTTTTCCCTTCCCAGTTGTGTTGCTTTGGTTTTAAGTGCTTGCTGGTGTCTTCCAGGGAATGGAGAAGTACTTAACTTACATGGTGGTCACTTGGATTTAATGTTGAGGAAGAAACTGTTAGGTTGCATTAATGAGACTAAACCTCTAAGGTTTAAGATAGCCTTTTCTTTAAGTTTCCAAGCGATAGTGTTTCTTTCTTTTTAACTGGCTCTAAAGATACTCCCCTGAGATCTGGGACAGGGCTGGGTGGTGAGGGGCTGCTGATGGTGGTGATTGATTTTGGTGCGTTGGTAGCATTGAAGTACTCAGTGTTGAATGTATTCTGTGATATTTTATGATTGCCCTGTTATAGGTTTTCAGAATAATCAAACACTACTTTTCAGAGATGTATTAGTTGGCAATGAAAAGCCTTTTTCTGTGTTTAACACAGAGACAGAATCTGCTGGAAAATGTACTGTCCAAATAAATTGCTGTACTTTACATATTAAAATGTAGAGAGTAACTATTATTTGAATGATTTGATTTTGAAGTTTTTATTTTCTTGCTTTATTTATCTCTTAAATGAAACATTCAGCTTAAATTTATCATGTGTATATATTTTGGATTCTGGCAGAATAAACTTAAAGCAAATGAATTAACTTTTTACCTCTCAGATTAAGTTTTCTTCTAGGTTATCTACAGAAATAATAACTAACTTCAACATACAGAAGGGCCCATAACAAATGAGTCAATAACATATGCTATGTTTTTTTTTCCAAGAAAACATTTCATTGAGTCTGCCCTCTCAGTTTGTAGAATGAAAAGTTTTATGTTATTTTTTATTCTTTGTGCTGAAAGAGGAGTATAAAGGTTCATTTATCTGTAGAAGATTCAAATGTACCACGATATCTGGAAAGCTATACATGTTTTATTCACAATGCACTCATGTGTCTCTAAGATCTTTGGAAGTTGCATTACATGGGAGTTATTTTTGTTTTCAGGACAGCTTTCCTGTGTGAAGGAAGTCCTGTTGGGTTTACATAAGAAAGAGAGATTGTTTGGGTCTGTGAACAGCAGACTTTCTGTCTTCAAGTGCATAGGTCCAAGATTTGAAGCCAATGTTGTCAATAAACCTTGAATATGGATTTAAATTTTTAATTGTGAGCTCATTGCTCAAATTAAGTCTTTCATGTTTCAGCTAACATAAACATTACAAAAGCTATTTGCAACATTCTGTTTTAAAAGCCATTTTAATCATAACAACATATATAAGTAGAAATGCTCATTTGTTTAAAATATCAGATAATGTGTGTATAAATTATTTTAGATTGCATACTAGTGAGTTATTTGTTTTTAAACAGAGAGACAGAGGAAACAAGAAATAACTTGAGTGATCAAATCTAGATATTCATTAAGAGGACCGATTGTTTCCCTAAGTTCAGGGTAGTTTGTATATGAAGACTGGAGAAATCATTGCTATACTGTATATTTTCAAGTGAGAGTGAAACCATAATGGAACAAAAAAGATACTTTTAAGATTTTAATCTGGGGCAGAGGATAGTTGCACTCTGAATTTGGTAAACAAAGATCATGCCAAGAACCTTTTGTTATGTTTTCAGTTATTTAATATTGACTTTTGTTAGAAATTTATTTATGTTAAATTTCTATCTGTAACATTCACATTTTCATAATTTCCTGCTCTATGAATCAAACTGGGAGTTCTGCAGCTCTTTAAACTGACCACTTGAGTTTTTTGGTTTAAAATCATTCAATGTAGTAGCCTAGAGTTAGCACCGCCTACTGGTTTCTCATGGGAAAAAAAAAAAAATTTCTTTGCCCAAGCAACCTGCCTAAATTCAGATCAACTTAATAATGCACATTTTCCACTCCCCCGACACGGCTTACTGAGAAAGAAAAATACAAAAAAGTTTTGTTTTGTAGTAGAGAGGATTTCTGAGGTTAAAGGTGGAGTGAGGAAAGAAGACCCTTAGATTAAATTGGCTGTTGTACCAATAACTGTCCTCTAGTAGTTTAATAAGTCATGATGAAAAAACTATTACAAACTTAAAACAATATGTTGAATTTCCTAGATCCTTCATATGGGACACCAAATGAGAATACTGGTAAAAATCATGGATTACTGAATTATCTTTATAGTTTTTGTCCCAATCTTAAACATTGTAGAGAAAGAAAATCCTGGTTGGGAGTTCTGTCTTAAGTGTGTGGTCTGTCCAAAAATATTTAATTGAATAAATGTTCATTATTGAAGATAAACAATTCTTTCTTAAAATATATCATTACATATAAGCAATCAAGTTGTATATTGTTTTTTCTTAGTATGTATGAGGTAGCCACATTGTGGTAGTATTATTTGTGAGAGGAAATTTCCAAACATATTTTATACATACTCTTTCATATTTATAACTTAACCTGTATTACTTTGCTCTAAAGTAAAAGCCATTTATTTTCTGTAATTTTTATGAAAATCTAGTTGCTAAAAGAGAATATTAAAAAAAATTTAAAAAAATAGAAAATTTGACATACTGATAAATTGTTTTCCAAGTTAAAAAAAAAAACCTGTGTTATCTGAAGTTAAATATTAATGTTTTTAATAAGACAGAGTATATGGAAACACTGGAAAGAATAATGTGACTGTTACAGTTTTGAGAGCTTTCCACCTGAGTAAGAGTGTGGTCATGCTTTGTTTACTGTTTATTGGCATTGTAAGCAACAAATTATACAGTGCATCAAGTGAAATGAAACTACATTTCAAGTCCTCAAAAAGCTCCATTATGGAATTTGAAGAAAAGTCAGATGAAGATTTAGAATTATTTGTATAATAAGAATCCAGGAAAATGTTTAACCATGATTCCTCTCTTAGACTTTTGAAAACTTTTATGTTAAAATAGTGATGAGCTGTGACTTTAGTACAGTTTTTTTTTCACTTCTGTTATTACACTGCCATTAAGGAAAATATGTTGTGCTATGAAAAACTAAGGTAATAGTGAATTTTATTCTTCCAACTATTTATGGAGCTCCTAAAAGTAAATAAAAATTTGTTCTGAAAACAGTGCTCACTTATCTGCAATTATTGTTATCCTCCCATTGTTATTATCTGTTAATTTCAATGTCTTACTCAAGTGTCTTTAAAATATTCATAATTTGAGTACCATTCTTTGGATTAATAAATTTTTCATAAACAATGAGAACAATTAGTTTCACCACAGTACAACTTTGAGAATAACATTATTAAGTAAAGTGTAAGTTAATATGTGATTTCTGAATACACCAATAGTTACACATTTAGCCAGTGTTATGTAAATATATTTTCATCACTTTCATTTACTATTAAATTGATTTGCAGAATGTGTGTGTATACACACACACACACACACACACACACACACACACACACCCATATCCCAGCTATTGCCAACTTTTAGTAGTTTTTCCTATTCTTTTAACTTTAAAAATTACAAGAGCATATTTGGAAATTTTTTTCTTTGATTTGTTAAATTTATAAACATCAAATCTATGTTGTGAGAAATGGACTTTCCGTTTTTCTGATTTTTCCATACATTTTTAAAAAGGTTTTTTGTTTGTTTTCATTATCTTGCTATTTTTCTGATCCCGGAAAATACAGAGGTTATTTTGTTTGTTTCTGTGCATTCCTGAGTTGCAGAGATGGCAATGGGAGAACTTCGGTGAGTCTTTAGGATAAATGTCCCTTGGACTGTCCTTGGAGACTCCTCAGCTGGGGTCAAGACTGCAAGAGTTATTTCCTTATCTATGTATAAATCTAAGTGGAAAAGAAATTATAGAGAACATGGGAACCATGTCCTGGTTTCGTGAAATATGCACTGGACTGCTTCACTAAGCACTCTTATGGTAATGAAAAAGTAAGGATTTTATGTACATAAATATTTTGGTAAAAATTCATTTAACTTGTCAGTTAATATTCTTTTTTGCTTAGAATAAAACAGTGAAAATTTTTCATAAACTTAACAGTGGAGATTAATTAGGTTCATACACATCCGTGTGTTTAGAGAAAATGTTTGTACACACTTTGATAGCCATATGCCAAATAATAACAGGAGCAACATTTCTGAGTCAGTTTGGAAATTATTAATAGGCAGGACTAGGAATGGATATTTTTTCATTACATCAAGATGAAAGGAACAGAAATGGGGAAGGATTAGCATTAATTGATGTGCCAAATGAATGCCCTTCCATTTTCTCTTATCCTTCATGAATAGGTAGTACATTATTTTTTTATATGTTGGAGAAAATGGACTTGGAATGATATGCACTTACTCAAAGTTCCCACAGGTGTTGAAGGGACAAATGACA